ACTGCACTCCAGTCTGGGCGACTGAGTGAGACTCCAACTCAAAAAAAAAAAAAAGAAAAATTAAATAATTATGATTTAATTAGGATCCTGGTTAGCACATAGGGTCAGGCCGACCTCACTGTGAATCCTAGCTCACTAACTTGTTGTATGACCTGAAGAAAACGAACCAGTTATTCTGAGTCTCAGTTTTCCCATCTACATAATGCTGGTAAATTGTAAAGCCCACATCAAGGGCTCCATAGGTACCAGAATCCCACAGTAACCAGCACCCGCTACGCCTGTCTCCATTACTCCAATTACTCGGCATTTTTCCTACCCCTGTTGCCCACTTCTCACAGGATCGGCCTAAAGATGAAATGAGGTAACAAGGCCAGGCGTGGCGACTCAGGCCTGTAATCCCAGTACTTTGGGAGGTCGAGGTGAGAGGATTGCCTGAGCCCGGGGTCTCAAGACTACCTTGGGCAACTTGGTGAGACCTCATCTCTACAGTAAATAAAAAAATTGGCCAGGCATGGTAGCATACACCTGTGTTTCCTGCTACTTGGAAGGCTGAGGCGGGAGGATCTCCTGAGCCCAGCTCCAGCCTGGGCGACAGAGGGAAATGCCTACTCAAAAAAAAAAAAAAAAGAAAAGAAAGAAAGAAATGAAGTACTTTACATGTAGTAAGTGCTTTATTCATGAGAGCTATTATTTCTTAATCAGATATATATTATATACCATTTTAATGATTTTAAGTTATCAGCTTATTTCAGTCATTTAGAGATTAAAGCAAGTACCTTCATGTTCATTTAAAATGAATTCTACAGGATTACTAACACCCAGTCCTGAGCAGCGAGGCAGAAGCAGAATCACTTTAACTTTCTGCAGCCTGTGATCCTTTGACTCAATGTCAACAAATGTCTCACGAAGTATTTCAATATCTGGAGAGAAAACAGAAAATCCATGTACAAATACAAGTTAAAATCATAATGTAGTATGTGAGTTTGCCTATGTGTTATACATTTCACAAAAACTCATTTTAATGTAGTCAGAAAACAGGGCTATTCTTCTCTGATAACTTCCCAAAGTTAATATAGAAATTATCCCCTTTAATATAGAAATTTCTGGCCGGTCTCAGTGGCTCAGCCTGTAATCCCGCGCTTTGGGAGGCCGAGGTGAGTGAATTGCCTGAGCCCACGGGTTCAAGACCCACCTGGGCAACTGGACAAGACCTCATCTCTACAATAAATCAAAAAAATCAGCCGGGTGTGGTAGCACGCGCCTGTAGTTCCAGCTACTTGGAAGGCTGAGGCTGAAGAATCACCGGAACCCAGCAGGTCAAGGCTACGGTGGCCGGCAGCGGCCACTGCACTCCAGTCTGGGTGACAGAGTGAGACTCTGACTCAAAAAAAAAAAAATGTCCCCTGGAAAAAAAAGGGAGGGGATGGGGGGCTATCAGTAGCACTTATGGGCACAATCTAAGGTGCTGAACCCATACAAGCTGGTGTGAAACATGACCCATACCTTTAGGGACTTTGTAATTTAGTTTAGAAGCATATGCTTCCCTCGATTATAACCATCTGTGCCCCTAGGACCAACCCCTTCTGCCAGGGCTCCCACCACCCTCACCTGCTGAAGAGCCACTCGATACTGCCCCATCTGCTCGGTGTCCCTTGCCTCAATTTCCCCTCCTCCTCTTCTATTTATTTTGAGTCAGAGTCTCACTCTGTCGCCCAGGCTGGAGTGCAGTGGCACGCTCATAGCTCACCACAACCTTGAACTTCTGGACTCAGGCAACCCTTCTCCCACAGCCTCCCAAGTAGCTTGGACTGTGAGTGCACACCGGCATGCCTGGCCAATTATTATTATTTTTTTTTTGTAGAGACAAGGTCTTGCTATGTTGCCCAGGTGAGTCTCAAGCAATCCTCCTGCTTTGGCCGCTCTGGCCTCCCTTGGTGCTGGGATCGGGCATGAGCTACCGCGCCCGGCCAATATGGAGCATCTTTCGCATGTGTTTACTGGTCATTTGTAAATCTCCACTGGACAAATAGTCTACTCAGACCCTTTTCCTTTTTAAGATTGACTTGTCTTTTTTTTATTTTATTTTTTGAGTTGGAGTCTCACTCTGTCACCCAGACTGAAATGCAGTGGCCGCTCCCGGCTACTGCAGCCTCGACCTGCTGGGCTCCGGCGATCCTTCCGCCTCAGCCTTCCAAGTAGCTGGAACTACAAGCGCATGCTACAACGCCCGGCTAATTTTTTCATTTATTGTGGAGATGAGGTCTCGCCAAGTTGCCCAGGCAGGTCTCGAACACACGGTCTCGGGCAATCCACTCACCTCAACCTCCCGAAGCACGGGATTACAGGCTGAGCCACCGAACCCGGCTGGCTTGTCTTTTTATTGTTGAGGTGTTTACATATTCTGAATAAAGTCCCTTATTGATTTACACGTAATTTATGATTTACATATACTTTTTCCCATTATGTGGGAGTCACTTCAGTTAAGCACAAGTTCTTAATTTTGATAAAGTCCAGTGTATCTGTGTTTTCTCTTGCTGCTTGTGCCTCTGGTGCACAGTTACACGGCTATCCCTAAATCTAGGCTTGTGAAGACTCACCCTGTCTTTCTTAGAAGAGCTTCAGCTGAAACACTCGAGTCTTTGATCCCTTTCTAGTGAACTTTTGTGGATGGTGAGGTTTGGGTCCAATCTGATGCTTTCCAAGTGCAGTGCCTTGTTCAGTGGTCCCAGCACCATTTGTTGCAAAGGCTGTTCTCTCCCCATTGCATGGCTTCGGCAGCCTTGCTGCAAGTCAGCTGACCCTGAACCAAGGGTTTATTTCTGGAATTCCAATTCCACTGATCTGTATAGTTTTCCTATGCCCGCGCCACACTCTCGATTATTGTAGCTGTGTGGTAAGCTTTTAAATCAAGAAATGTGAGTCCTTCCACTTCGTTCTTTTTCACAACTCATTTGGCTATTCTGGGTTCTTTACATTTCTATGTGAATTTTAGGAATGGTGTGTCAATTTCTGCAAAAATAGCCAGCTGGGATTTTTTTATAAGGATTGTAATGAATCTGTAGGACCAATTTGGGGAGTGCCGCCATGTTAAGTTTTCCAGTCCATAAATATGGAATGTCTTCTATTTGTTTATATCTTCTTTAATTTCTTTAAACAATGTTTTGTAGTTTTTAGTGCATAAGTCTTGTGCTTCTTTTATTATATTTATTCCTAAGGGTTTTATTCTTTTTGAGATTATAAACAAAATTGCTTCCTTTCACTTTTAGATTACTCATTGCAAGTGTGCAGAAATACAATAGATTTTGATATATTCATTTTGTATCCTGCAACCTTGTTATACTAATGGATTCATTCTAACAGTATGGATTCTTTGAGATTTTCCATATACAGAGAATGCTTGCTGGTCCTGGACAATTTTATTTACATATTTTGAGACTGTTATTAGGTGCATATAGCTTTGTACTGTCATGTTTTCCAGGCAGACTGGACCTTCCATAATCATAAATATCTCTTTTTATTTTTAGCAATGATTCTTGATATGTTTGTCTGTAGTTCTTGCTAGTATATGTCCTTTTAGGGTGTTTTGTTTTCTTTAAGAGGTATTTCTTGTAAACAGAACGTAGTTGACCATTTAAAAACCAGTATGGAGAGCGTCAGGAAGACGGTGGCCAAGCCAGACTATGTGAGTCCCAGTGTGAGTGAGTGAGTGAGTGAGTGTACGCAGAATTTTGTGTATGTGTTGGTGAGTGAGTGGGCATATGAGTGACTGAGTGTGGGCGGCTCGGGAGCAAGGGACCAGTGCTCTCCTGGTGAAGCGGCTGTTGCCACAGTTGCTCAGCTTGGACCCTAGCGATTCCTGGGACACAGAAGCTGAGCACCATTTTTTTTTTCAAATCAATAAAACCCTTCCTGGGAAAAAGATGCTGGGAGAGACTAAGTGGAGGCTCATGAGCAAGTGGCCAGGGCCCTCCTGGTGAAGCAGCTGGCACTGCAGCTGCTCTGCTTGGTCCCTAGCACTTCCCGGGTCACAGAAGCCGAGTGCCTTTTTTTTTTAACTGACAAAAGTTTTCCTGCAAAGCAGCAGCGGGGAGAGACTGCCAGCTCCAGGCTCTGCCTCACCACTGCAGCAGGAGAGACTGCCGGCTCCAAGCTTTGCCTCAACACTGCAGTGCCTGGCCGGACACTGGCAGCAAGGGCTGTGGAGGGAGCCCAGAGGCAGAGTCCCACAGAGAAGACAAAGGAGACCCCCCTGCCGCCATCTTGAAAACAGGGCAGGAAAGCACCCCGACTCACTCACCTCTCAGAAACAGACTCAATCTCTGTGACTGTCGGATCAGCTGCTCAGTGGGTGATCATGACCCAGAGGGAATATCCTGAAAGCACAGACTTGGGAGGGACAGGACAAGTGCTGAGTCTCAGGTGCCCCACCCACTACCCTGACCCTGATGCAGCTGGGTCACAAAGGGTGTGGCCAGAAAAGGAGGAGGAAGACCTCCAAAAAGATGACCCGACCCAACCTCCTCTTCCCCAGCAATCCTCTGAACATCAGACCCACGCAGCTGGGGGATGACTGAGAGGGACAAATCCAGGTAGAGCCAGGACGTCAGCTGCAATAGAGCTCCATTCCAGCATAGGCCTGGCTGGGGGACCGCTGGTGAGTACATACCTGGGGTAGAGACAATCTCGCACCTCCCCACCACAGGGGGATCCCCACGACCATCTAAGAGTGGGAGAAGAGGAATGCAGCCCCAAAAAGCTCCACTGTCCCTCTCCTTCCCTGCTCCAAACACTGGGAAGAGGGAAAGAGGTGAAAACTCTGCAGGAGACAGCAGAGAAGTAGATGAGAGGAACAATGACAGAACCTGCCGCAAGAGGGTAGGGTTTTTCTTTTTTTAATTTAATTTTTAAAAAATTTGGGGGCTGGGCTTGGTGGCTCAGCCTGTAATCTCAGCACTTTGGGAGGCTGAGGTGAGTGGATTGCCTGAGCCCATAGGCTCAAGACCAGCCTGGGCAACTTGGTGAGACCTTGTCTCTACAATAAGTCACAAATTAGCCAAGCATGGTAGCACACATCTGTCGTTCCGGCTACTTGGAAGGCTGAGGTAAAACGATTGCTGGAGCCCACCAGGTCAATGCTGGAGTGGCCATGAGTGTGCCATGACACTCCAGCCTGGGTGACAGAGTGAGACTCCAACTCAAAAAGTATATATATATTTTTGCCTGATTGTTTGCTTTTCTATTTTTAAAATATTATTCCTTTGTGCATGGATGTGTACGTGAGGGTTTCATGTGCACCCCCTTTTATCTTTTCTTTTTTGTTTTCTGTTTATGTGTGTATGTGAATGATTGAGTATTCACCTTTCAGGGTTTTTTTTTTCTTGGTTGGTTGGTTTTTGCTCTTTTAGTCTCTCTCTCTCTTTTTTAGTTTAAGGTGTGTGTGAATATATGTGTGAAGATTCAATCTGAATTCCTATTTTTTTCTTTTGTTTTTTTTCCCCCCTGGTCTTTCTCTTTTTCTTCTCCATTCGTTTTGTGCTAGATGTGTCTGTGTTTATTTTTTCTGGTTTTTTGTTTTGTTTCACCTTGTAGTTATTCCAGTTTGTTTTGGTGTGTGTGTGTGTGTGTGTGTGTGTGTGTGTGTGTGTGTGTATGTGTGTGTGTTCAATTGCTTCTTGCTTTGGTTTCTGCTTTCATTGTTCTGTGTTTTGTTTTTGTTTTTTTTTATTTAAAAAAAATTTGTCGCTGGGCTCAGTGGCTCAGCCTGTAATCCTGTGCCTTTGGGAGGCTGAAGTGAGTGGATTGCCTGAGCCCGCGGGTTCGAGACCCGCCTGGGCAGCGAGACCTCATCTCTACAATAAATCAAAAAATCAGCTGGGTGTGGTAGCGCATGCCTTTAATTCCAGCTACTTGGAAGGCTGAG